AGTTAGGCTACACTGGCTGGCCAGCAAGCCAGGGATCCACGTGTCGCTGCCTCCCCAGTGCTGGGGTTACAAGGGTATGCACCATGCTCAGAATTCTAACATGGGTTCTTGCAGTCAAACTTAGGTTATCTTCTTTCATGGAAAGCACTTCACTTGCTGTGCTGCCTCTCCAGCCCCACGATGCCTGTGTCTAAACAGGAAACTAATTACATATGATGCACAAAAAGGGGAAAATAGAAAGAAAAGAGTGGCATTCAAAGAATATCCCCATAAAATGGATAAAAAGTGGCCAAATAGAACATGAGGGAACCTAAACTAAGCAAATGCTTCCATAAAACATATAGGAAGAGAAGATATAAAGAAGCTTATGTGATAGAGCAAAGCAATGGGAATGAGTTATGAATGAATTATCATAAACAGAAGAGAAAAACACCATGAAATGAAGACTGTGTTGAAGATATCCCCAGAGAGGCTGAAATACTGATGAAAACTAAGGGTCATATAAGATACAAAAGAGGATCAAGACTAGAATAAAATGTAAATAATCAAATTAGACATGATTACAGCAAAATAAAATTTTAAAATGACTATAGCAAAAAAAATACACACATAGAAATCAGAAAACAGAAATCACACATATGCAGAACTAGTGGGCCCAAAGAGCAGAGCAGAACAAGGGGGTGTTCGGTCTGTTGATTTTCCTCTCCCTAGGAAAAACTACTCAAAGAAATAGCAATAATTTATAGTCAACAAATCTATGAAGTATGAGGATGGCTGGTAAAAATATTTTTGAACACGTAGGAACTCAAAAACTTCTGTGATATTAAGCAACTTTGTTACTGCATATTTAACAAACCTAGATAGTATAATCTACTACACAAATTATATGGTGCATGTACACAAACATACGTGTGTGTGTGTGTGTGTGTGTGTGTTTGAAATAGCCTATTACTCACAGGATTGTGATAAATAAGATAACATAATATAAATAAAACACAGGAATGATAAAGATATGCAATAAACAAGATATGCCACCAACACAGCATGACATTATTTTACAACAAGCTTTCTCTTATAAGTAGAGGGATGCTACAATTTAATGGTTAAAAGTATAGTGTAATGAATATATATAAAAGTAATGTAACTACTATTATATTATTCTGTCAGCTGTTATAGGCTGTACATCACTGCACATTCTATACTTTAGTATGACTGGCAGGACAGTAAACTTGTTTATACCAACATCACACAAACATGTGAGTAATGCATTGTTTTATGATATAATGATTGCTACAAGGTCAGATGACAATAGGGATTTTCAGCTCCACTATAATAATATGAGACTCCTATCATATCTGAGGCAAATCACTGGTCCAAAACATTATTATTAAGTACATGACAGTAATTATACAGAATTAATATAACTAAGACCAAAATAAGTAGTGATTACGGTAACAAAATATAATAAATGTTAGGAGCCCTAACATGTAGTGTTCTGTAATTAACAAAAGTGCGATGAAGAACTACAGACAGTAAATGCTGCTGAGAGGGAGAATCAGTTTTCCCTAGGGACAGACTCTTAGAAAGGTTATTCAATCCCTTGTATCAGTCCCAAAGACATGTTCATACAGACTCATTAGGTTATACATACACACATATGTAACAATAATATAATTAAGAAGAGATTATGAATTGAGAAGCAGTGGGGGGAACACAGAAGTTGGAGGAGGGAAGATATGGGTAGAAATGTTATAAATGCAGTACTCATGTATGAAATTCTGAAAAAAAAGTTTACTTTAAACAAGTGAGATCAAGGAAAGGGGTGAGAAAGCTGCTCGTGGTGTGTCTGTGTTGATTCCCTAACCTTACTTACAGAGGCAGGCATAGTGAGGGGACCAACACAACCCCAACCTTCCAGCTTTGTCAGTGACAGAGCTATGAGGAGAGTATGAGCAGCATTACGGGACTTCAGCCCCATAGAGTAATCACTGATTAATCTCTACAAGTCTTGGTGGAGCTATGTCACTTGATATTAACTGGTTTTTGTATGAACATGTGATTCAACTCTGGCCAATGAAGCCATGAGTGAGATATTTGTTTCTCTGCTTTTAAGAAGAAATATAAGAAGAAACCAGGGCAACATTTTTCTTTGTCTCTTGATACAGCTACATGTTAAGTTTTGCATGTAAGTGAAATCAGAAAGAAATAACCAGGAAGATAAAAAGACATGTGCACTGAGGATGGCAAAGTAGGAAAGTTAAAATGTAAAAGCCTTTATACAGTTTCTTTTATCTTCTTAACTTCTCCAACAAATGTGCCCTACATGTCTATTCTTCCTAAGGTGTCCACTTCATGGGACAGGCAGATGAAACTCAGCCCCTAAGAATATTCGTGTTTTCAATTTTCAGTGTGATTATGATCTATAAAAAAGAGGCTTAAACAAAAAACAATGGCAAAAAAATCCACTGGTGCTTTTGTTAAAGACCTTTAAATTATTTTTGTTCTTAAACAAATCCATTCCCAAACATCAAAAGGGTTTTCTCTTCCTTCACATGCAAAGATAAACTGTTTTTCAAAGTTACTTTATATTTTACTCAAAAACAAAACAAAAATAAAATTCCCCAAGTTTTATGGGAAGTAATATATCAGAGTATGAAGGGAATGCCCCATTCCTCTTTCAAGAAGAAAGGAAGGGTTTGTTCATATTTTGTGTGAATCCCTCTTCTCTTTAGAACAACTATGCCAAGTGGTAACCTGGATGTGTGCAACTGGACAGAATGCTGACAGTCCTTTACCTAGAGCAGTGGTTCTCAACCTTCCTAATACTGTGGCCCTTTAATAGAGTTTCTCCTGCTGTGCTGACCCCAACATTAAAGTTATTTCATTGCTACTTTATAACTGTAATTTTGCTACTGATAGGAATTATAATGTAAAGATCTGATAAGAGGTCACGACCCATGGTTTAAAAACCACTGATCTAGAGGCATGAGGATGTCTTTCTTATGTAGGTGTGTTCTCCATAGTTTAAACTCTTCCTAAGCATTACCTAAGGAAAAATGTCCTCACAAACATTTACTTTGTCATCAAGTTTTACATATCAGAGATATGCTCATACTGTATTATTCTGCTGTGTGGATCTGAAATCAATGAGATGTAAATGCATACACTTATTAAACAGTGCAAGTAAACCACAAAAGTATTTTATTCACAATATCATTGAGGAAAGAACAAAAAGTTCAGAAAATAGACAAATTTCAGTTCTACTTAAGATACCTCTGCTCTTCAGAACCTTTCTGTTTCCAACTAGTTTTTCCAGTAAAAGAAATTTAAGATATATAGCTATGCTGTCATGTTGAAGCTTTTAATATCCCATGACAGTGATTGATATATTACATTACCTTCTATAACTGATTCCCTATAGTCACTTTCATTGCATCTAGTGAAATAATTAATTTTTAGAAAGAAGACTAAGTTTTTGTTACAAGATAACTTGTCTCTCCACTCCCCCACATAAACATACTCACACATAGCTTACCTTACACACATGCTCACATACCACACACATACACATACACATGCAAAGTATTCATTTGTCCACATTTATGTTCATCTGCACCCCACATGTGTTCACACACCATATATACACAAATTAATTCATATATTTATTTTATTGTCTCTGTTCACAATCGAGAATAGAATCTCCAGGAAGGCATGAATGTCAAGTGTCAAGTTCTCTCCCCCACCCCTCTCTCTCTCTGCAGTTTTTGTGATTTTATTTAAACACATAATCTGGGATTGGGATTGGTAACTGCTGGCCAGCTGTGCTGCTCTTTCTACAGTGGGTTTTTGGTTCTTGGAAGAAATGTTGTGAGCAAACTCAGCACAGCAAGATTTGTGCACACCTGCAGCACTTCCAGCTCCTTGACATTGTGAACCAGAAACTTCCAGAAGCTACTAGGAGACATTTGCTTGGTTTCTTTGTTGCTCCTGTAACCAATGTTGGGCATTAGGGTCTGGCCCTTGAATCTTCTCCGTACTCTGTTGTTGATACCTCTGGGTCTCCAGTTTCACTTAATTTTGACATAGTGGTCTGACTGATGTAGCACGAATTCTAATTGGTCTTAATAATAAAAACCCAGAGCCAGATATTGGGGTAAATGCTGAAAGATTAGAGAGACAAAAGAGCAAGCCACAGCCACCTCTTACCTCACCAATTCCTTAGTCTGAAAGGAAGGAGCTCCTGTCTCTGCCCCACCTTATCACTTCCTCTCTCCACTCAGCCGTATTACTTCCTGTTTCCTCCTCCTAAATACTGGGATCAAAGGCATGAGATCCCAAGTGCTGCGATTTAAGGTGTGTGCCAACACAGCCTGGCCTCTATGGTTAACTAGTGACTAGCTCTGCCCTCTGATCTCCAGGCAAGCTTTATTTGTTAGAGCACAAACAAAATATCACCACAGTTCCCCCTTTTTTGTCTAAAATAAAAAAACTAATATGAGAAAAACTACATGCAATAAGTACAAAAACTATATACAATATATACAAGCAATAATTACATTAACAATGTCTGGTCCATTAACATTTGACAAATTCAGAGAAAATACTCAATTATCTATCCTGTCTTGGTGAGTCTAAAGGGTTATACCTAATTCACATTCTATCCTAACTTGTATTACCAAAACTATCTTTTAATGTCTCTCAATCCTATACACTTTACATTTCTTTAGTGAATTTCTTTTCTGAATCTGGTAACAAGGAAAACTATAACTATCTAGTCTTCAACTCCACAGAGACCCAAGAAGAAAATGATATTACCTGAGTAAGCAGGAAGTACAAGCAAGCAATTTCCAAAAAATGTGAGAAATGACAGAAACAGCTGGGTGCCTAGACATTGTAACATTGTAGAATCTGTATCATTGGGGCATCCATCTTCAGCCTACAGGCCTAGCATATCTGACAGACATATCTGTGAAGCAAGATTTTCTAATGGGCTGTCCTACCTTGTCTTGGCAAAGTTCAGCAACTCTTTCTTTTGTGTCCTGCTTATCCCATTTGAACAGCATACTGTCAGCAGTAAAGGGGAGGGCATTTTCTTGCCCAGTGGCTAACTTTTGCCATAAAGAAAGTAAACTCCATGTGCAGTTTCTTTGATGCCCATCATCTGCCCCAAAGTAGATTGGTGCTGCCAGGATCAGACATGTCTCATTGTCATAAAAAAAAAAAGAACTCATATTATTAAAACATCTTAAATGTCATATTCTATAGATCTCGGAAGTGTTTGAAGACCACCTGTCTACCTAAAATATATCTGTTTGACCTTAAAAACATACCTAAAATGACTACAAATATAATTGTATTAGATGACCAACTACTAACCTGCATTTCTTTATTATCCTAAATAGTTTGTAATAATAACTTTCAAAGACAAGCAATTTGCATTACATTGTTAAATGAGATGTATAGGTACAATACCTTGAACAAGATTAGAAATTCACAGTATGTTCTAAACAAATAACTTCAACTTTGTATCAATATACAAAGATACATATCAATGTAAAATATTTAAAACAAGTAGTTGATTTTTAAAAGTAGATTAAATAATCTACCCTTTTATCCTATCTTTATATCCTCCTTTTTTCTTTTCAGAGTAGATTCAATAATCTACCCTTTTATCCCATCATTTCTATATCCCCCTTTTTTCATTTCAAAAGAAGAACCCTGAATCTAATCTCCTTTGTTCAGCTTTTTTCCTGACCATTACAAATAGCAACTTGTAACCAACTCCCATAAACAATGACAAATATCCATAACCCATTGAATGACCAAAAACCACCTACCCCATCTCTTGGGAATGTGGTGTTTTAAATTTACTTCCTTTTGTCTGAGGGTGATGGCATCTTTAGGGGATCAATACTGAAAAAATGTTGGGTTAATTGTCAAGTCCTGGGAGTGGTAGCTATATTTTTTGTTGTCTAGCCTCTGCATAATGGGAAAATACAGGGCTTGTCTTGAGCTCTGGCTGGAATAGTCTGTGAGGCTGGATCTTCTCAGCTAGCCACCTCAAAATTGTCCTGAGCAGTTTGTAGTCCAAAGTCAATCTTTAGGTGATGTTTGTCAGCTTAGTGATGTTATTATAGTCCATGTGGAATCATCATTGTGGAACTCCATCCTCCTTCTGGAGATTTTGTTAGGCATGGTCATGGTTCACTGCTGAAAACTTAAACATTTTAAATGTCATATAAAGCAGATCTCAAAGAGGTTAAAGGATCAATATTTGTTATGTACATCCAGGGTACAAAAACTTAATTCCTAATTACCTGATAGAGACTCAAACCTGAAATCATGTACAAGAAGCTAGATGAAGCCTTTTTCTAGAATTATTTAGTACTATATATGACCATTAATATTAGTACTCTATATAACTATTAATATCATGACAAAAAGTTTAAAATATATATATATTATCTTATAAATTTTGAAATATATTTATACCTTAAGGAAAGTGTTAAATGGTCAAAATAAAACCAAAGAATCATGAGATTAGTGGCAATAGAATAGTCCCTAATTTTGGTTTTTCTTCTGTCTCATATCTGGTGGATCTTCTGACATGAGACAGAGATTTTTGGATTTTTCTTTAATAAGCATGCTTGGGTTTAGAAAAGGAGAGAGCCACACTCCAACTCCAAAGTCAGCTTTAATTTTTAATTGGACTGGGACTGCAAAAAGACCATTTGCATTATGTGTCTGTAGAGAACAGCAGAAATAAACATTTAGGAAGATTTATGAAATTTTATCCTGTTGAAGATGTGCTATATCAATAAGGCAATTTACTTTTTTTCTTGGGACATTTTTTCTGGATTATTTGTCTTTTCTCTTCACATGTCTCATTTGTCCAGTGGTCTTCAGATTCCTTAGCTGGATGCCTTCATTCTCTTGAAAAGACAAAAACAAAACCCTGTCCCAATCCTAATTTGGGGGAGGTTCCCTTTTGGCAAGTTATATCTGACCAAATGAAAAGCATTTGTTGATTTTAAAGTTAGTTTAGATTGAATGACCACATTGATGAACTATCACCTTTTCTAATTAAGAGGTCTCTCTTGTTCAAATCCAACTTTTATCAATTTTGATGGTATCCACAGCTTTTCTTCTCCTGTGGAAGCAAAAGCAAAACCTCTTCCCCAACATAACACATATCTTGGTTTCTATTCTGAGGTCAACACATCTTTAAAGTATACAGGCTGACTTAATTCAGTAGTTTTTTCTATTATCCAATGTCTCTCTGCAGCTGTTGTTCCTTTATCACTAGCATTTAGAAAATTCAAAGTTAATAAAGCATTATCTAGTGTTGGGTGCCAGGTATAGAGTGAATTCTAGTTGGTCTTAATAATAAAAACTCGGAGTCAGATATCAGAGTAATTGCTGAAAGATTCGAGAAGTAAAGGAGCCAGCCAATAGAAAGACTTCTTACCTCTGCTGAATCCTCAGACCGAAAGGGCCAAGCTCCTGTCTCCACCCTGCCTTATCACTTCCTCTCTCTGCCCAGTCATATCACTTTCTGTTTCCTCCTCCCAAGTGCTGAGATCAAAGGCATGAGATCCCAAGTGCTGGGATTAAAGGTGTGTACCACCACAGCCTGGCCTCTATGGTTAACTCCACATTCTGATCTCTAGGCAAGCTTTATTTGTTAGAACACAAACAAAACATCACCATAGACTGATGCCTGAAAACGTCTTGGTCCTCTTTTTGGCAATCTTGGTCTTCCCCAGAGGCCAGAAGGCAGCTGCAAAAGAGATGGCGACCACCTCACAGGCCGCACAGTCAAGTCCTCTTCATTGCTGTATCCTCAATATCAAGAACAGCACCAGGCATGTTGTAGGTGCCAGGGCCACTGCACAGTGCCCGGCAGTGCAGGACACAGTCCCCAAGGTTGTGTGACTTTGGTACAACCCTGTGAAGGCACAAAGTATCTGCTAAGCACTGCTTTGTGTCTGTAATAAAGGCACTTTCACAAATAGTAAAAGTCCATGAAGCTTTATTTTTGCCTTTATGGTTCCTTTTTTTGGTACATAGTATGGGGGCACTGGACATTGCATAAAGACACCTTGGCCCTATTACAAAGGAAATCCTCTTTTGTTCCACCTAAATCTGTAAGAATCCCTTAAAGCTTGAGACTGATAGGCTCCATATTTCTGTAAGCCCCCAGGAAACTATTAGTGAACTCAAGATAAACAGTTCTTAGCTATTCCAAGTTTTCCATTTTTCCTCAAAGTCAAACACACGAAGTAGCCTTTCAAAGAAATTCTACAGTTAAACTAAAGGAAAACTAGGAAGAATAAAAAATATTATACCTTTCTGTACTCCCTAAGTACAAAGCAAAAAATGTTGGCAAGAATATTTTTTTCCTATATCTTTTGGAAGTGAGTTGCAGATTCTTCATGATTCATCCCAAACACTAGGATGGCTTGGAAGAATATTTTTTGAAATGTAATACATTAAAACAAACTTCAAACTGGTAAAGTTCCTTGTTGCAGCTGCCAAATGTTAGCTAGGCCATTTCTTTTTCTTCTGTTTAGTATAATCCACATGGCTTTGACAATACAACGGTTGGTTCTGTAGTAAAGCTACAGATCCCAAGAGAGGATATTCTTCTTGGCAAGTTAAGAACTGAAGAGGATTACAAATGCCACTTTGCACTATAGCTCCATACAATTTACAGCAGAGAATTAGAAATACTGAAAAAGGAGAGCTCTGCCTGGGGTCTGAGACATGTTTACACATGCTCTCCATGCACGTGCACAAATAATTGCACATTTTTGTATGCACTCCAATTTTATGTTCCTATACTTTACTGCTAATAATTTTAGCCACTGTAGTACTACATACAAAGGAGGATTTCAGAATAAGTGTTTATAAGCCAGTGTGTCAGTAGGTGACAGAAGACTTAAAAGGCAGCTACAGGGAAGGAAATTGCACCTAAGCACAGGTTTCTTTTCTATTGTCACATTTTGGAGACTTTATCGTTATTATGTGACAGGGATTGAACATGGGACCTTACACATGCTAGGCAAGTTCTTTGTCACTGAGCTACACCTTCAACCTTATTGCAGTTTTATCTTGAGATCACTGCAGACTGACACACACATAAGAATACAACGAGACTTCATGAATCCTCTCTGAAGTTTTCCCCAGGGTAAAATGACAAAACTATAATATAATATCCAAAGCAGGATACTGCCATTGAGACAGGCAGAATACAGAATACTCCAGTGTCATAAGGATTCCTCGTGAGTGCTCTTTTAGAGTTAGGTTTATTCCACCACAACTTCTTAAGTCCTGACAACCACATTCTGTTTCCTGTTTCTATGATTTCGTCATGTCAAAAATGTAATGCAAACAGCATCATACACATAATCTTTGAGCGTTAGTTGTTTTTAAGTCAGCAGAATTCCTAAAATTCATTGAGGTTATTGACTATATAATTATTTTTCTTATTTCTGAGTATTAGTCCGCAGAATGTATAGACCATAGGTCTTGTTTACCTATGGTATACCTATGCCATTGTAATTTATCTGTCTTGTTTCCAGAATTTGGCTATTACAAATACTACTGAAATGAACATGGAATACAGGCTTTCATTTTACTTTAAATCTTGGACTAGGGATATAGCTTGATGGTATAGTACTTGTCTAATACGTATGAGTCCCCAGACTTCATCTCCAGAACCACAAAATGGGAGGAAGGAAGGAAGGAAGGGAGGAAGGGAGGAAGGGAGGAAGGGAGAAAGGAGGGAGGGAGGGAGGGAGGGAGGGAGGGAGGAAAAAAGCAGGATTGCAACCCTTCTAGAATGGCTCTACGATTGTATGTAAGTGTACAGGAGATCCAGATTTTCACACATCCTTGCCGGTATTTGGAACTGTCATCCCTCTATTTTATAATCTCAGCCATTGTGACAGGTGTGTGGTGGTATCTCTTTTTTCTAAGAGCTTACTTTCCACCTGTGTGTCTTCTTATGTCTTGCCAAATTGATTAATTATGTACTTTCTAAGAGTGAGTTCTGAGAATCTCTATGCCATTGCTACCTAGGCCTTTGTGAGATAAATAGTTGAAAAAGAATGTGTCTTAACCTTTCACTTTCATGGCAGGGTTTTCTACACAACTTTCTAAATTTTGATTGTTCCAGTTGATCAATTTGTCTTGTATGGTTCATCTCTGGGGTAAATTCTAAAAACTCGTTGCCTAGGCCTAGGTTCTCAATGCTGGTCTTATATTTTTTCCCTATAAGTTTTATAATTTTCCATTAAAGTCCATGGTACATTTAAATTTTTGTAGCAGATGTAAAACTTATATCAAGGATCCTATTTGTGCTGTGTGATGCCTCAACACTAGCTTTTGAGAACACTGCCTTTACTTCATGGCATTGATTATGAAAAGTCATATAATCCATATATAGCACTCTTGGGCATACATCTAAAGATATATAAATCAGAATATTGCAAAGATACAAACACATCCATGCTTATTCATAATAGCCATGATATGGAAACAGCTGAGATGCCAATCAACATATGGCTGCATAAAGAAAGCATGGTACATATAATATATACAATGGAGTTTTATTCAGTCACAAAAGAGAATAACATGTCCTTTTCAAGTAAACAGATGGAACTGGAAGTTATGATTGGACAAAATATTGTGCATTTTCTTTTTCAAGCAGTTTATCTTTTTTAATATTTATTTTTATTTTGTGAATATGAGTGTTCTGACTGTGCATATGTGTGTGTGTGTGTACCACATGTATACAGTTACCCACGAGGCCAGAAAATGATATCAGATTCCCTGGAACTGAGGTTACTAGGATTTGTGAGCTGCCATGTGGGTGCTGGAATGGAATTCAAGTTCTCCGGAAGAGCAGCCAGTGCTCTTAATCACTGAGCTCCTTTCTGGTTTCTTTTTATATGTAAAATGTGTATTTAATCAGGAGTGTGTGTGTGTGTGTGTGTGTGTGTGTGTGTGTGTGTGTGTGTGACATGAAAGCAGAGTGGAGGAAGCAGATCAGTGAAAAGATATAGGGTAGTAGGGAAGTAAATATGAGCAAGGCACAATGGGATATGTGTGTGTGTGTGTGTGTGTGTGTGTGTGTGTGTGTGTGTGTGTGTGTGTATCATAATGGAACCTAGTCTTTGTATTTTTTATTTTGTATTTTTTTAATCAATAGAAGCAAAGTTAAAAAGGGAGGAAAAAATGTGGCAGCCACTCCATATGATACAAAAGCTGATAGAGGGGTAGGGAATATAGCTGTGTTGCAGGCATGTAGGAAAATACCGATATTTAGTCAAAGGAACTGGAAAGCTATAAATAGGCTTTAAAGCTCCAGTTTGCTTGTTAAACACTGAGTTTTAGGAACTATATGGGACTACACAAACAAAGAAAAGAAAAGCATTAGGCCAATTCTCAGAACAAGGCAAAATGAAGCTACCTAGCTTGAGGTATGTAGTGCCAAAAAAACCCAACCAACATGGCCCTAAGCATCCTGTTAGTAGTAGACTTCTAGGTATAGCCTGTGACTAGCCACTGTATTATCTTATTTTCAGATTTGCTTTTCTTTTCTGTTGCTTTGACTTTTATCTTTAGGGAAATCCTCCTGCCCTGATCCAGGACTTTTGCCATTTGACCCTCTTTGAAACTATAACAAACCATCCTTTCTATGGTATGTGTCTTCTCCTCTGTTGGCCTCACTACACCTGAGTAAAAAAAAAGTCACACTATTTAAAGCATGTGGGTGTCACAGGTAGAAGTTGTTTGCATTAGCGTGACTAGGATGTGAATTATGTCCACCATGTACTGGGAGTTTATATTCAGAGTATAAAGAAGCACGATGGGCTGAGCAATAAGATGGAAACTACAGTATCAGAGATCAGCCTATAGCAGACTGTTTGGACTCTGGACCCAGAATCACAAACAGCTCATATCAGTCACCACTGTCCCAGGAAACCCTTTATATGTCTTGCCCAAATCAACCCCCTGCTCTGTTGACTTGCTTTCTTCTCTCCCTTCCATCACTCTTCATACACTTAACAATCACTTTGTCTGGGCAACACCATTTCCAGGATGCTTTCCTCGAGCTTCGCTCTCTCTTTGCACAGGTTGAATATCTTTTTCTATGATGTCCTTGCACCCTATACTTACTTCCCTCAACATATCTCACAACCTCAATTTAAATAACCAGGTTATGTCACTGACAAGTATCTCAAGTATCACACAGAGGACCTGCCACTTTGTTAACTCTTAAAATGAACTGTGTCCATCATCTTTATCATCCACTCATCGTTCAGCACTTGTGTGGCACAGAGCTACCACATGGGTCTTAGCTGAGTGAAGAGCCTTAACCTCCAGTCTCACTATCACCAATCTATCCTAACTATCACTTCAGAGTCAGATTAACCCACAACTGCATTTGGTGGTTAATAACTCTAATGATGTTTTCATTAGCATCTTACAATCCCCCTGCCTTTCTTTCTTATCCCACTTCACTTTCCTCAGAACAAAAACTGGATTTTCTTTGTGCATGCTCCAGGGTGCACAATGTTACCACCAACAGTCAAATCACCATGCCAAACATTTCTGCTATAAACCAAGTGCCTGACCCCAACAGTATCCTCTGTATTGCTGGGCAACCATTATATTTATCTTCAGTTGACACCTATCAGGTTCCCTACAGCAGCTGCTACAAAATTCTTCCACTCTACTGAAGCTTCAAATCCTGCCCCTTCTCTGAGGCTCAGAAAAAGCTCTCCTCTTCACAACTGAGGGGACAGCTTTATGGTCATGAGTTGGTTTGTATTTTTTTAAAATCCTCAATGTTTTTCTATCTCCATCTCCATCTACACACTGATACTCAGCTCTCACCCAGCGAAGGAAATGCCTATCAAGCATCCCAATGCTGAATTT